TCTTGGCTCCTTCCCGACGGGCAGGGAGAAACCCCAAGCGGGTCGGAGAGATGGGGCTGGAAAGAAATCGGGGTTCGGCTGGATTTAACCCGCCCGGCGGTCTCTTTTTTTCTCTCTCTTTCTGGTTTCAGGTCTGGTTCCAGAACCGGCGGGCCAAATTTCGCAAGCAGGAACGGGCGGCGGCGGCGGCAGCGGCGGCGGCCAAGAACGGCTCGTCCGGCAAGAAATCCGACCCGTCCCGGGACGATGAGAGCAAAGAAGCCAAGAGCACCGACCCGGACAGTACCGGCGGCCCGGGACCCAACCCCAACCCGGCGCCCAGCTGCGGAGGCGGCGGGCCCAGCCCTGCCGGGGCTCAAGGCAGCGCCGGAGCCGTTGGGCCCGGGTCGGAAGGGAACAAGGGCGCGGCGCCCCCCGGCTTGGCCGCAGCGGGTCCCGGGCAGGGCTGGGCTGGGGGTCCGGGCTCCATCGCTTCCATCCCGGATTCCTTAGGCGGGCCCTTCGCCAGCGTCCTCTCCTCTTTGCAGAGACCCAACGGCGCCAAAGGCACTTTGGTGAAGGGCGGCATGTTTTGAGGGGTGGGCGGCGGGGCCAGCCTCCCCCCCTCGTCCGGTTTGGGCGCCCCCCTCCCCCCCCCCGACTCGCGCTGCGCCCGGTTCCCGGCCACACGTGGCCCGTGGGCTCCATCCCGGGCTTCCTCCATAGCTCCCTCCTTCTCTCTGTCCCTGTCTCTCTCTCTGTGTGTGTGTCTCTCTCTCTTTCTCTCTCTCTCTTTCTCTCTCTGTCTCTCAATATCTCTGTATCTCTCTCTCCCTGTCTCAATATCTCTCTCTGTCTTTCTCTGTCTCTGTTTTTGTCTCTGTCTCTGTCTCTCTCTCTCTCAATATCTCCCTTTGTCTTTCTCTGTCTCTGTCTCTTTCTGTCTCTCTCTCTCTCCCAATATCTCTGTCTTTCTCTCTCTCTCTCTCTCAATATCTCTCTCTGTCTCTCTCTCTCAATATCTCTTAATATCTCTCTGTCTTTGTCTCCCTGTCTCTCCGTTTCTCTCTCCCTCTCTCAATATCTCTGTCTCTCAATATCTGTCTCTGTCTCCCTCACACTGTCTCTCTCAGTCTCTCTCTCTCTCTCTCTTTTTCTCTCTGTCTGTCTCTCTCACAAAAAGCCACCCAACTTTTGCAAGGTAACCCCCCTCCTCCCTCCCTCCCCCATCCAGCTTCCCCCACCCAGGCCCACCCGTCCCCCCCCTCCTCTGCCCAATGGGGGCCCTTCGTCCTTCTACCAAGCCAAGGGCTTCACTCCACCCCCACAGCGAAGGGAGTGCACATTTAGTGGCCCAGTGCCCCCCCCACTCGGGGGAGGGAATTGACCAGGCACCGACCGTTTCCCTTCGCACACTTGGGGGTGCAGGATCAATTCTGCGGGGTCCTTGGTGCTCTCTTGAGCATGGCAGTTTCCTCAGAGACATTTCGTTACCCGACTAGGTCACGTCATCAGTACTGGGGTCTGCGGTAGAACTGTGCCAAACCCCCGATGAGAAAATGAGCATTGTCCGATTTCTTACTTTTCTGTAAGAAAACCACCCAGCTCAGAGAGGGCCAAGGATCCCCAATGGCTCAACCCTGAGCTACACATCTTCTATTCGTTAGTACGGATAGTCCTTGACTTACGACTACAACGGAGCCCACAATTTCTGTCCTTAAGTGAGACATGGCTTAAGGGTGTGTTTGGGGGCCCCCACCTCCATTTTGCAGCTTTTCTTGCCACCGTCTTTAAGTGAGTCACTGCAATTGAAAGGCCAGTAACCTGGTTGTTAAGTGAATCCAGCCCCCCCCCACTGGTCAGAAGGTCGCAAAAGCGGATCATGTGATTTTTGGCATGCAGCAACGGTCCTAAATATGAATCGCTTGCCTGCCAAAGCATCTGAATTTGGATCCGAAGGAAATCAAAATACTGCAAAGGCCGTAACTATGAACAACGGTGCTAAGGCGCTTTTTTTTTCAGTGCCGTTGCCCCTCCAAATGGTCGCTAAACGAACTGTTAGTCAAGGACTCCCTGTACCAAATTCTGGGCTGCACATCCAGGCCTGGCCACTAGAGGGCAGCCTCAGGACAACCCAACCACCATGGTTTGCTGCCCCCTAGTGGCTTTTCCGGATCAAGGTTTCAACCAAAGCTCCTTCGCAGGGTTTGCAACCGGGAAGGAACTTGCCTCCCTGGGGATGCAAAGATGGCCCATTTCCACGCGTGGGTTGGGTAGCCCATTATGGCATCACCTGGCGGCAGCTGTGGCCATATTTGGGGATGCAAATGACAACTTCCTGGCCTACAGTGAGGACCAGTTGATGCTACCCAAAGGGACCCCTTCCCTTGCGAGGGGAAAAGCCCAAGACTTGAAGTTTGAGGGTGTCTAGGTTGACTAGAACAACCTCAGCAACTTTAAGCCTGGAAGACTTCAACTCCCAGAATTCCCCAGCCATTCTGGGAGTTGGTCCGCCAGGCTTAAAGTTGCCAAGGTTGGAGACCCCAACCTAGATGGTTCTTTGATTTACTGGGAGTTGAAGTACACACGTGGTGATTTAGAGTAGGGGTCTCCAAACTTGGCCATTTGATGACTTCAACTCCCGGAATTCCTCAGGCAGCCATGGTGGCTGAAGAATTCTGGGAGGTGAAGTCCACAGGTGGCGATTTATATAGTAGGGGTCTCCTCAGCCAGCCATGGTGGCTGAAGAATTCTGGGAGTTGAAGTCCACAGATTGATGATAGGAGTCTCCAAACTTGGCCACTTTAAGACCTGTGGACGTCAACTCCCAGAATTCCTCTGCCGGCCAGGAATTCTGGGAGTCGAAGTCCACAGGTCTTAAAGTGGCCGAGCTTGGAGAGTCTTACTTTAGAGGGGGCCTAAGCACTGAAGAAACAAGGCCACCAGGGTGGGACTTTTCCATGACCTGCGCATTTGCGTGGTGCCAAAGAGTCCACATTCAGCCATTGAAGCACACCGCGTAGAAAAATTGCCACCACAGAGCATCTTTTGAAACTTTCCGAATCCCTGAAAGACCCCCCCAAAGTGAATTGGTCCTGACCATTAAGCAGAAGAAAAGCCTGTTATTACCATTTCCCCGAAAATACGACCTACCCTGAAAGTAAGTCCTAGCTTGATTTCTACACTTGCCCCCAATATAAGCCCTACCCCCCCCAAAATAAGCCCTAATTAAGATCCCACCCCACTCCAGAGTGGACGGGTAAAAATTAAGCCAGGGTGGGGATTGGGGTGTGTGGAGCTGCCCTACTACTTACCTTTGGACAGGTGTAGCTAGGCCTCGCACACCCCGACACCTGCCTTGCTGGCCCATTTCTTCTGCAGCCAGTAAGGCTGGCCAGGCTTTCCTGAAGGCCTCTGGAGCTGATAACAAAGCTCTGGATCGATCCTGAGCTCTCTTCTCAGCTGCAGAGGCCTTCAAGAAAGCTTTGCCAGCCACTGAAGAAGTTCCTGAAGGCCTTTGACAGTGAAAAGGAGACTGGGGCCGACATATGCAAGTGAGGTTAGTCAGTGGATGGCATCCCCTGAAAATAAGACCTAGTGCCTCTTTTGGGTGGAGATATATATGTGTGTGTGTGTGTGTGTGTGTGTATGTATGTATGTATGTATGAATGAATGAATGAATGACATGGTCTTATTTTCGGGGAAACACGATATTGCTTTGATTGATTAGCTTGGTGGTGGTGGGTTTTTTTTAATTTTCATTTTATTTTATTTTATTTTTAAATTGTCTCCTCTTCCTATGGCCGTTTCTGGCAGCCGACCCAAACAGCGTATTTCTAATAGTCAGGGAGCTGTTTACACAAGGCATCCCAACTCTCTGTCCCAAATGGTCTCAGCGCAGCGCGTTCCTTTCCCGGGGAATGGGTTGGCCTCCATTCTCAAAACGGCTATGCCATTTTTAAGCCCACCCCACCCCAACCCTGGAAGGTTTTTAAAACTCTTTTCTTTTCAAAGGCACAAAACCCTAGAGATTCGTTTTGTCCACCAGTATGCTTTCCAACATCCTTTCAGTGTCTTTCTACCACGGTGTTCTGTGACTCAGTTGTATAGTGTTAATATCGATACAAACTTGTCTACTCGAATTAGACGTATAAATAAGGTTTTTTCCCTTTCCTTGTAGTCTTAAATGGCGTGTCATTATGGAAAAATATGAGGTTTTTATCAGTTATCTTTTATTTTATTTTTTGGATTTTGGATTTGAATTGGCTTTTAATTTCTCTCTCTCTCTCTTTTTTTTTTCTTTCCCAGATCTCTTTGTGAGCATTTAGCTGTCATAAATTATGTTTCAGGAACTCCGGTTTATTTATATGTGGTTAAAAATGAATGCTTCTATTTAAAAGGGGAAATATTTCTACATGTGCATATAGTTTTACAAAAGTGTACCATTAACTGGTTGTTGATAATAAAAAGGAAAAGGAAATACGGGCCCATATGGTTCTCTTGGTCTAATTGAATTCCTGCCTGAACATTTCTTTTTTTACAGGATTAAACACATAAATTATCCCCTAGGGCAGTGATGGCTAACCTTTTCGTGGTCGTGTACTGTTCTGTATTCTGTACAGTGGTAGATTTTATCTTCTGTACAGATGCTGATAGATAAACTCAACAAAACATTCATAGAAAGTCTTTATTATTGGTTCATCAGGTATCCTCATAACTCACATTTGTGATGAAGTTCTTCTTAATGTCTAATCCTTTGCATATCTGTCTTGTAGGTAAAAAGATGGTTATCTCCTTATCCCTCTCCTCCCCTCTCGTAGTGGTAGTTACAAGTCTGTGAGTTCAGGCAAGAGTGAAGAAACCTCCCCCAACCCATCCAGGGTCAATTTAGTGACCAATCAGGATTACAGATGTGGTCACGTGACATGGATTACATTTCCCAGGATACCTTAACTACATTTACTATGATGCATTCCCTTAAGGAGACAGCTCACAATTGCTAACTAACTATCCAATTCCCATACACTGGCTGGACAAGCATACATACCCATGCACCTCTGCACATGCGCATGTGACACCCTATGCCACGTGCCTGTGTGCACTTGTGCATGACCCGCCCATGCGCCAGTGCCTCTGTGCAAGCGCACGCATCTCCCATGCGTGTCCCGCCCCCGCGCATGCATGACAGATATCTGACAATCAGCTGGCTGGCGGGAGGCACACGCACATGCACAGTGGATCTGTTCTGAATGATGGTTCCTGTGCTGGCAGAAATGATTCTTGCATGCCACTTGTGGCATGCGTGCCTTAGGTTCGCCATCATGAACCTAGGGCAGTGGTGGCTAACTTTTTTGGGCTCCTGTGCCAAAAATTGCATGCACACTAGCGTGCGTGCACTCGCCAGCACCCAGAATGCAATGCGCACCCCCCACCCTGTGCATGCGCATGCTATCCCCCCTCCTCCCGCCACTCCCTTACCTGAACTGCGCCTCACAGCTGATTTTTCGGTTGGTTTGAGGCCTTTTGCGGCCTTCCAAAGGCTTGGAAAAAGCCTCTGCAAGGCTTTTCAGGCCGAATTATAGGTTTGCTTTGTCAC